TGCCTGTGACTCTGGGATGGGGAAAGAGGCCTGAGACTGGCATGTGGGTTGTTTGCATATGTCTTCTGGGCACCACAGCACCTTCTCCCTTCAAGCTTGGTGCCCTGATGGCAAAGGAGAGGCTTTTCAACTGTCTTCTGCAGCACGGGTCTGTTGTATCGACAGGGCGGGAGTCCTTGCAAGGATTTTTTTTTTTTTTAAATGCACAGGGAACAATTTGAGATTTTTCTCTTAAGAACCGAGAACAGAGAGTAGATTCCAAATCTCTTAGGCACCTGTGAAAATGATAATCACGTTCAGTAAAATCAGAGACACCACTTATTTCTCCTCGATGCCACTGAGCTGATGTCACATGACTTAGGGCCTGCCGGGGAAGGGCTGAGGTTTACATGGAGGGTGGACAGGTTGGTGAAGTAGGAGGCAGCTGGTTTATGGTGCAAGGACAGAGTGCAGGGCTTTCTCTGCAGCCATGCCATTGGCCTACCATTTGAGAGTTTCCTTACACAGAACTAACGGCATCCACAATGCCGCGTGAAAGTCACCTTTGTTTCTGAGGGTTATGATTTTTTACTTGTTTAAGGCCATGACTAACTAGTTCTTATATTATGCCACCAAAAAATTCTCTCTGCTCACACCACCACTGCTTTGCACACAAGTGGATCATAACAGTGAGGAAGAATAACCCCCACTTGAAACATTAGCAGATGCAGAAAGCAGAGACAGGAACTGCAGTGCTGGCTCTTCCCTCTTTCTTCAGAGAGTCTTTGCAGGCTTGTTTGTTTTCCTATGCCTTCCCTTAGGTTCATGGTGCACATCGGATGGTCTGTGTTCTCACCCCATCCAGTGAATAAAAAGCTGCCCTACCCAAGTTCAGGCCATATTCTCACTTATCTCCCAAACCAAGCACACAAATAAATGAGTGGCATTGACTCAGCCAGGAAATGATATCATCTCAGAGGGAGGCAAGGGGGTGTTTGCTAATGTCTAGCACAACTAGGACTTTCAACACGGAATGGTCCCCGAAGAACCCAAAGCAGCCATTTCCCAGGAGTGCGCGTGCATGTGTGTGTGTGCGCGCACGTGTGCATGTGTCTGAATGAGAGATGTCTACAGTAAGTGAATTCATGAAATAATCAAAGGGAACCTTTATTTCAATTGACTGCAAATAGCAACAGCTTAAGATTCTTCAAATAGCCTTAACACCATGCAAAAAATGCCCGCGTGGCATGAGTCCTCCGGGGGACAGTGTGCTGTAAGGGAGGACAGAGTGAGCCTACACAGGCAGGGCACAGTCCTGATTTGGACATCCAGTTCTCAACTACATCTGGTCTCCATCAATCACCCAGGACACAAATCCCAAAGAGCAGGAGACTGAGCTCTCATCTCAGCCTAAAATGAGTGAGCCCATGAGTCAGTAGTCACAAATCCAGCTAATAAACATTCCTCGTAAGTTTAATTAAGTCATAGACCAGGAAATGTGGTCAGAGAACTGCAGAACTAAAAGTACCCTTGACAAGTATCTTTGTTCAACTCTTTTGATGTGCTGATGAGCTAACAGAGATGTAGGCAGGAGGACAGGGGTGCCCATGATCACAGGCTAATAATCCCAGTCACCCTTGTTTCAGGCTGGGGACACCCCTACCTACACACACATTAAGGCCTGACCCCAAAGTGATAAGTTCCTAGAGTCCCAATTGGGTTAGGACTGAGTACTGAGCTATACAGTCTCTTCAAATTATCCCTTGTCTCACCAATAAACTTCCAGGTCTGTTTTAGAAGAAAAATTCAAGACCTGATCACCAGGCAAAGCAAAAGACACTGCCCACTAAGGACACTGAACATGACCTTTCCATGTGCAAAGTCAACACATCTATTCCAGGTTTGTAGTGGGGTGTGGAGTGCAGGTTGGAAGGGCAGGGCTGTGCGGATGGACGCTTAGACTTTGTTGCAGCTTTGCCTTATCCACATGTTTTCTACATGCTATTTGACCCCATCTTTAAAAAGTATCACGCAAGCAACTTCGAAATAACTGGCCACTCCCTAAATCTTCACTTGTACATATGAAGAGGAGTCCAGCCTCTCATTCCCTCTCAGCTTCTCTTTTGGAGGTTACATTATAGCTTGCCAACCACTTTGCCCACATGTAAACCACTCTCCACAGAGGGAGGGGTCTTCTTTGGTTTTATTCATCCGGGCCTTGGGCTCATCTGTCCTCAGGGAGAGAGTTATACATGTTAGAGACTTCCCCTGCTCTCAGTCAAGGGCTCTTTTCAATCCCACCATACTTCTGTGATTTAACTCATTAGGGGAGGCGTCTGCGCACACACCATCACCTGCTCCATTTGGTAGAGGATGCAGCTTAGTGCTGGAATTGTTTTATTCCTGCTGTATGCAGAGTTCCTGCAAGGTAAGCAAGTAAAGTGCAAAAGAGTGCTTTCAAAGGGCATCTTTAACAATACAGAAAGGGCGCCACACACCGTAGTCCCAAAACTAAAACCAAAACCAAAACAATGTACAGTACGTGTCTGCAAGGCCGACCTTGTAGGCCATGTTTACACAAAGACCTTGAACCCCCTTGGTGGTAGAGCTCTTCTCCCCACCTCAGTATGCTGTGTCCATGAAACTAGAAAGACACACACGTACACACAAATACACACACACACACACACACTCACAAGGGCGCATGACATGGACATTGTAGCAAAGGCGAAAGCAGACTTTGGTCAGACAGGTTATGGATACCAGCTCTACCGCTTCCTTGCCGCGTGCCATCGGGTAAGTTACTTAGCCTCCCTGAGCCTCCTTGTCCTCATCTGTGTGAGGGGTTTGCAAACACTTCCCACAGAGTGTTGCCGGGAACTTTCAGTGAGCTAATGCCCATAAAGTGCCTAATCTAGTGCCTGGCCCTCAGAAGCCACTCGTCAAATGACAGGGAAGCCTCTTTGCCAGATTTGTCTGTCGGGTCTGGAATTTTAACACCCTATTGTAAGGAAGGTACCAAGGAATAGAGGGTGGAAACCCAAATGAATGAGAGCCAAAGACAGTTTAACTGGGAAGTTTTTAACTTGACAGACTAGGAGAGACAGTCCCAGTTATCTACCACTTTCTTTAAACACATTTCTTCAGGCTGCAATGGTCCCGTAGTAAGAACCATTGTCCACAGCTGCACAAATATCATTTCTTGAGTGTCCGGTTTTTAATCTATGGACACAGGATGGCGCCAGTGAGCCATAGCTCCCACCCCATGGAGACATCAACCCAAACCCACCTTGCACAGCAAGGGCCTCCTCAAAGTTGATTTTTACTTAGCTCCTTCCCCAAAGCAATACCAGAACTTTAACTAGAGATTAAAAGTTTGGGGGCGGGGACCGGATGCTGCCTGTGCTCCAGGCAAGGGAGCGCTGTGCCTTTGGGGGAAGCGGTCGGGAAGACGTCTCCCAGGGTGCCAGCGGTCAGGGATGTGGTGGGTGCAGTCCTCCATGGGAGTCCCTGCTAGTCTTCTAATCTGGTGATAAATCCGGTTGTGCATTCATCGTGTGAAGTCACCTAAGAGTGGCCCTGAGCATCAGAGGCCCATAAACAACAACCTTCTGCTGTTGCCAGGGCCAAGTGCTCCAGCGCGGGGCCCCAGGAGCTAAGTTTGAACCAGTACAAGGGCCAGCCGATTGTGAAAAAGCTGAGGCTCATGCAGGATGGCTGGCTGACCTGGCGTGCATTTCATTTTTCCCATTCTGATAAAAATCTATTTGAACTCCTCCCCTCAAACCTTATGACCAGCCGTTCCCCTACTTTCTTTCACTGACGTTCTAACCTCAGGGAGCAATTATAATGATCACATGATGGTTATCGTTTGCCTGGAAACAATCACGTGTGTATTTCAATTGGCGTTACAATAGCAGGTATAAGAGAAACAAGCAAGGAAAAAGGACGCTTTCAAAATAAAGGAACGCCCAAGCGTAAAAGTAAAATAGTTGAAATACTTCTTTTAAGTATTATTTTTTAAATGGCATTAATGGCACTTAAGCTGCAAGCAATTAAAATGGTTCAGTCTTCTCGTACAAGAGTTGGTTGAGGGATTAATTTTCCTTGTGTTTGGAGATAGCAAGATTGGCTCTTGTAACTGTGTCTACGCTAAGACACCCAAAGGGACAAAAAGCCCTGAGATGGAATGATGCCGTGGTCCTCCTTGGTATGTCTCAGACATGCAGGATGTCTATTTTCATAAAAATTTAGGATCAGCTAGACAGAACAGCAAGCCGCTGACGGCATGCAAGGCAATAGTTTTGGTATTTTCCCCCCTCTTAACAAAAGTTATCACTGACGTTCCACTAGAAAAGGGAACATGAACATTTCAAAACCAGTTTATTTTCACCATTGCACCCACTGAGGAAAATGCATGATTTTTGCCTGTAACCATGCAGCTGTTGAGGCTGAGTTTTCACCAATGCGTGCAAGTTCGTTTGGACTACCTACCCCTGGGAGAAAGACCAAATTCAGTAGGCTTCTGTCCTTGGTTGAGGTGATATCCACAGTGAGATGTTTGTGATTATTTTTTTTTCTTTTGAAATGAGGAAAGCAACTGCACCTGTTAATACGTGTGCTCTGATCTGCTTCCCACCAATCCCAGGTGCTCTCGGGTCCCACGGACATTCATTCGGAGCTGAGGAAGGCTAGGTATGCGCTGAATAGTTTGAATCAGAATTCAAGCTCAGAGCTACCTGCCAAAATGCCAACTCAAACCCTACTACCAGTACCAGTTCACCCCCAATCCAGTCCCCTTCTGTGTGTGCATAGGTCACTAACGGTAGGCTCAGGAAGTGAGACTCCATGTAAAAGACACACCTGTTCCTTTCAGAAGGCTGGTCTAAGGAATAGCTGCCCTTTTCTGTGTGCTGTCCAGGGCGGCGCTGCATAGGGGTACAGCATCGCCACTCACCCCCGCCCCCGCCCCACCTCGCGCCCTTGACATTTGCAGCCATGACCTCCAATGGATGCAAATGCTCCCTGGGTGTCCTGCGGTCGCTATGGGAAGCGAAGTCCTTGTTCTTTGATTCCTTTTGGCAGAGCAAGCTTTCTCAGTCTTCTATGGCACAGTGAAATATATTCTTCAATGCTATGTAATTTTGGACTAAGGAGAGGTCTGTTTAAGGCACGTGTCTCAGGGTGAATATTAAAAAACACAACGCTTCATCAAGTCCAGAGTCTGGGCATTTAATTTCTGTCTTCAAATAATGTGTTGTCCTCGTGTTCCCTGTCTTTGGTGTCCGTGGGGACCATTCCGTTCTCCAGCCCCGCCGGCTGCTGGATGCAGTCGGTCAATATGGCAGTGCTGGAGTGGTCCGAGTTACATATCTTTTCTGTCTCCTCCTCTTTCTTCTCTTCATCCAGAGAGTAATTCCGGAAGGTCTTGTAGATTTTCTGAACATCCTCGGGCAAGGTCTTCTTGAGGTCCTTGTTTTTCCTCTTGGTGAGTTTGGAGGTGGACCCGAACTTGTTGATGATGTTGTCCTCAGAGGCCCCCTGCCCATGTTTGTTCAGCTGCTCCGTCCCTTTCAGGCGCAGGTTGTTGGGCCGGTTGTTGATGCTCTCCTGGGACGAGGCCTTGAAACGGCCAGTGTCCAGTGCGGCGAAGACAGAGCGCTTCTCGGGGGAGAGCATGTCGAGCGAGTGGGCCCTCTGGTCCAGGCCCAGGCGCCGGCGCTCCATGCTGCGGATGGTGGCCGCCCGCTGCAGCTTGTCGTGGATCTCCACGCTGAGCCGGCGCCGCGTCTCCCGGAACTCGGCCGTCACGTTGGCCTTCCACTCAGCGGCGTGGGCCTTGATTTCACCCACCTGGCGGGGCAGAGAAGAGCAAGAGCACACTGAGAAATTCCTCTCTGCGCAGGCCCCCCAGCGCCCATGGCCCTAGCAGGTCCCAGTGGGAAGGCTGGCTCAGGAACACCTGGAGCACATGCCCAAGGCAAGGGGTGAAATGCTGCCTCTGGCCTAATCACTCCAACCCCCTAAATACCTGTCACTAATGTGGCTCAGGGAGGTGCATGTGCTGGAGAGCCAAGGGAAGCTTGAGATTTGGAGATGAGGACTGAAGGAGGAGTGGAGGGCATTGTGGGTGAGAGAGCAGCAACTGGATGAGTTGGATGGGCCTTTTGGGTTCCAGCGATGTGCCCACCCCCTTTTTAACAGTACAGCCTCATCCCTCCAACATTACTGGGGTAACCATGTCTAGCTGATGGGGATTTTAGTGTTACGTGAAATAAAGACATGCACCTAGCTCAATCCAGGGCACAGAGCAGATGCTACGAGGTTCCTTTGCCCTTCCTTATCCTTCCATTGGTCACCTGTCCCAGTTAGCCTGGGACTGTCCTAGTTTTAAAAGGGCAAGTCCTTTGTCCTAGGTACCCACTCTGTCCTGGGCAAGCTAGGACTCCTGGTCACCCTGTATCTGGGCCATGCTATGGTCTCGTGCTATCAGGTTTATCAGGTTTAAGAAGAGCTTCCAGGACACCTGGTAACCAAATTTTCCTGGTCAGGGTACAAGAAGGGGGCATGCTCAGATTGAAGGTCTGCATAAGGATCATTATCAAATCTCTGGGCTCCTATTCAGGTGAGCAGATAGTACGAGCCCCATGCTTTCCTATATACACGAGGAACTCAGAATTTTGCATTGAGGAAAGTCAATATTTATGTTGTTAGTTTCTTTGGTTATAGCTGACTTTCAGCAGGTTAGTTAGCTCCCTGGGAAATCGGACTGGATGGAGACTGTATCACCAGTGTTTTTGTATGCCCAGGAAAGTTAACTCTTTGTGGCCAGCAATGAGACAGCAAATTTCTCCATTCAGTAGCTTTCTCCTGACCCTTCAATAGAGAATGACCTTATTCCGGGAAGTGAACAGGTTCTCCTAAAGAGGTTGCCCCTCTTTTCATTTCCTGGTGGGTTTTTTTTTTTTTTATCTCTTTTCCTTCTTTTTTTTTTTTTAACCTCTTCCCTTTTCCTTCCCTTGCCTCCTCCTTTCTTCTTTTCCTTTCTTCGTAGAAACTACGTGTACTTTATTTTTTTTAACTCACAATGATTCTACCTTTCCTTCCTAGGCCTTCCTTTTCTTGCCTTTGCATAGGTTTTTGTGCATGTTTACATGTGGGAGTAAAGGCTGCAAGCTCCTGGGATATAATTATTTCTATAGATCAGACAACCAGGAGGGGATACAGGTGAAAGGGACCCCCTGAGTTCACTGCCCATGTCTGGCCACTGCTCAGTGACTTCAGCCTTGTAGGGAATCAAGAAAGATTCATGGCATTCATGCGCATTTCCAAACGGACCTCGCGACCTAGGCATGCTTTCTCAAGCTTTCTAGGAATTTTCTAAGCCTCCTCCACATATTTCCTGATAAGGGGCAATTGCACACCTCCCTTAAACACAGTCTACCACTGTTGATTATTTTGATATTTTTCTTTTCTTTTCATTCCATTTTTAAAACTAAGTTGTTTACTAGTCTTTCCAGGATCCGTGGGCTGGTGAGTCACCAGATTTTCTCACCTTTCAAAAAAGGATCCAAAAATAACTGCTATTCCATTGCATTTGGCTTTTAGGTATTGATTCCAAACGAGAAAGCCTGTGAGCCCTCCATTTAGTAAGATACACCCTCGCCCTCAGAATAGAGACAGGAAATTCTTGACACAAGTTCGTCTGATCTCTGGAATATGTGTAGAATCTGGAAGGGGTCCTACCTCTTCTTTTGTCTTTTTGGACAGAACCCGTAGCCAGTCTCCGATCATACTGAGGACAGCTGCAAAGTAGGCAAGGCCAACAAGGATCCAAAACCACACTAGGGGCTTATACCACTCCCGGTAATTGATGCCAGCATTTCCCCCTGAAAATAACCAAATATTACTTTAAGCAGGATCTAGTGTGTGGTCTTTGCAGAGCAAATACATTCCGGTTCACTCAGTGAAGACATCATCCGATCACCATCTAACACTCCGCCACTAAGCCTGCTGTATGTAAGACATGATGGAGGTTGGAAGTCAAGGAAAAGTCCCCTTGAGCTAGGGGACAACAGATCAGGCCCAGCTGTCCATTTTTCCTTAAACTTCTTCAAATTGGATAAAAATAAAACACCATTAAATCATCCCAAATGGTTTGGAATTCATGGAACCATTTCCTTCTTAAGCGCGCATGCATTTACCAAGAGCTGAGTATAAAATTAGACTTAATGGCTTTCCTGAGACTTTGATCCAAGTCACAGTGATTTAATGCTAACTGAGGGCTGGTGTTTACATGATGCTAATCCAACGGGTCAATTAGACTGAGTAATGAGAACCACCAGGACCATGCTAGAACTAAAATGGACTTTCAAGGCCAGCTAGTCCGATCCCTGCATTATAAATAGGGGTTACAGGAAAAATCCATCAAACCAAATTGGCCAGTTGCCTGATCACATTGACTGGCTGTTTCATTGAAAGGACCAGTCATTTATGCCAAATAATTAGCCTATTTATTCTAATCCTCCTCCAGGCACTGCCAAAGGTAGCCATGCAAAATAGTTCCCAAGCCCAGTCCCCTCTCCTAAAGAGGCAGGGACATTCCGGAGAATAACTGATGTTCTCACTCTGTGAGACGCGTTGCCCGATGAACCACGCAGGTGGCCGTTTCTAAGACAACCGACATTAGCAATAAATTGGAAATTATGTCACCATTTGATAAGTGATGACTAGTCTTTCCCACTGGGTCATGACTGCGACCTCATCGAGCACCACTGAATCCATACTGAACTCTTATGGTATCAGCTATACGCTTACTTCCCAAAGGCAGCAGGGCACCACTGTGGCCTGTGGCCTGTATCTCTTCTCAATGCAACCGAATCCACTTTTTTTTTTAATTTTTCAATTACAGTTTACTTTCAATATTATTTTGTATTAGCTTCAGGTGTAATGCTCAGTGGTTAGACAATCATATACTTTACAAAGTGTTCCCCCAGATACCCAGTACCCACCTGGCAGCACACAGTAATATTGTTTCAATGTTATTGGCCATGCTCCCTATGCTGTACTTTACATCCCAGCAACTATGTTGTAACTACCGGTTTGTACTTAATCCTTTCACCTCAGTCTCCCAGTCCCCCAACCCCACTCGGCTCTGGCAACTCACGTTTCAATGCAGCCCATGAGGTCTCAACAGCTACTGCCATTTCTTAAAATTAGAATTCCAAACCATGCTAAAGGGCTCCATGGCAAGCCCCCTTGGTGCGGTTTAGCTGCCTTTGTTTTTTTCCCTTTGGGCAACTCTCCTCTGCAGCTTTCCCTGGGACGCTATTGGAGTTCCTGCAACATTAAGTGGTTTTTGAGGTTCATTTTGTTCCTGCACTTGGCCAGAGAACTCAGCAGCTCTCTCCTTGGGGCTATCCTGAGAGCAAATATTTACCTCGGCCAGTCACGGTCACCCAACAAAGACTGTCACTAGGGTGCGCTAGCAAACAGCACATTAATCACCCCACCTACCTCTTCCTTTATCGGCTGCTAGCCCAGAAGTGAAAGCCTTTCGAGTGCTCCCAGTCAGAGCTGTGAAATGCTATAATAACGTAGAGTGAGTCAGCTACCAAATAAACTAGCACTTAGCCCAGTGTGATGACTGGTGTGTTCCGGTTATATTTCTAGTAGAGCTGATACTGTGTTAAATCACAGCAACCATCAACTCCTGTTAATATACCTTTTTAAATGATTGGGTGCTCTTCCCTATCACTCTTTTTTGGCCAAAAAAGCTGTGACAAACTTCCAGTCTTTTAAGGCATACATGCTTCAGACCAGTCTATGCAAGCCTGGACCCTGAAGAAGGGCCTGGTCTAACAGCAGTCAGCGCTGTGAATTGTAAAATGTCCCTGTCTGTGAAGACCTCCCTTGGGACAAAAGTAATACAGCTTTGTAATCAGTGGTAAACCCGGGCATTAAAACAGTGCGGAGGCTGTGGCTGTGAAGGTCACACCCTTACTAGGGAAGTAAAGGTAAGGCCGGTGCTGGTCTGCGCTAAGTGCTCACAGTCCGTGGTGCCTAATACAAACAAATAGAAATCAGACTCATTTTAAGTGTCCTGTTCCTGGGGCTGTGCTATTTGTGCCCCAGATTAACAGGTTACCAGCTTGAACGGAGCAATATTACAGAGCAGGGGTGTCCTCTAACGGGTAGTCCTGCAGAGAGTCCAGCGTTAGCAGAGTGAGGCACAACCCAGGGCAAATTACGCTTGCGGAGGGAGGCAGGGGCCTTAAAGATGCTTGTGAAATGGTTCTAAACTGCGGCTGCCACTACAGCCTTCACTGGAACCTCAGCCGAGTGTTACCGCACACCAGCTCCTGATGATGCTAAAGGATTAACTGGACACTCGCTCCTCTTCGTTTTCTCCGTCTCTCGGTGGTCTCCCTCCAGAGCTTCAGGTGCCTCATCAGACGGTACCAGGCGACTTGCGCCCCAAGGTGAGGAGCTGCACAGTGGTTGAGCACTATGCACAAAGGAAGGCCGGAGGGTCCCAGGCTTTTTATGAATAGTGTTTCATTACCCCGACTTTGTAATTCTTAGTCTTTAGTCAATAAAAAGGAAGAAAAAATTAGAACTGCTATTTCTACAAAGTGGACATCAATCTTCACCTGTCTGGTTACAATAGCTACAAGGCCGCTGTGCTGGTCACCTGTACCGTAGAATTAACAAAGGGGCACGTGCGCCTTTTCATGGGCTTCTGTAATCCCCTTCAAAATCTGCTATTCCTCTGATTCCCAGGGACCAGGTCCCTGTCCTCACATGCAACAGACTCCTGTGGAGAAGCCAGGGCACAGCCAGGATCAAATGCCAAACAAATGGCAGTTGGCCTGCGAGCACAGCCTGTAAATGTGCAGGCTGCTGCTTGACTGGGGACCGGTCACGGCCACACACACAGACACGTACGCCCCCGCCCCCCCAGCGAAATATTTTGAACTTATGATGGAGGTGTTGAGTCAAAGCACTCACTTCTTGGAGTAAAAAGGACCCATGGATAGTCCGAGCCCCTGGAACTGCCCCAGGGAGAAGGAGAAGGCTGGCCTCCTCGCTCGGCTCCTGCCTTCCTCCCACACTCTGGGAAAGCAGCGCCTGAAGAGGCCCGGGCTCGGTTCATTTTCAGCTCCCTGTCCCTAGGTGAAAGCCATGGTGGTTTCCTGTTGCTTCCCTAAACCCAGCGCATTGGCTTCTCTTTTCAAAATGAAGGCTATTGCTTCCACGTACATGAATGCAAAATCCATTACACTATCTTCCTTTAGGGGGCAGTTCTCTGCTCCCCCTTGTCAAGCGAGTCCTCAGCCTCACAGACATGCCCAGGACAACTTCTGCAGGGACCATGGCCCTCAGCTCGGGGGCAGCAGGAAGCTTAAGCTGCAGATCATTGAGGCTAAGCTCTGTGTTAATCCCTCCGGAGTTTCATGTTTGCCACTTGCTAATACGGCCTTTATCAATTGATTCAAGGAGCCTTAATATAATTGAGAAGTCCAAAATGCAATGAGAAATTCATTTCGCACATGCATAATTCATACGATGATAAGGACGATACGCATCCTGGGGAGTGTGAGGCTGGCTTTCCTCTCTCGGCAGCCTGATGCAGTTCAGGTCTCCGAGGACCACGGGATGGAAAGGAGCCCGTGCACAGCAGTGGGGATGCTGAGTCTCCTCCACGTGCTTCCCCCACAACCCATTCTCTCACGGTTCGGAAAAGCACTGCCAACAGAACATTGGCACCACCTGTGGGGGCCCTGGTGACCGTGGGGACCGGGAGTGCTTACCTGCCACAAAATCACCAAAGCCCACCGTGGTGAGAGTGACCACCACAAAGTAAATGGACTCCAAGGCGGTCCACCCCTCGATGTATTTGAAAATGACAGCGGGGATTGTCACAAACACAATGCAGCCGGCCAAGATGAACAGGATGGTTGAGATGACCCGGATCTTGGTCTGACTCACTTGCTTTTTCTAGGAACAGCAGAGGAGAAAGACAAGTCAGCTTCTTCATCACCCCGAATCCAGAAGACAGATACAAAAGAAAATGTATGATGTCAGCTTTTTTAACTGAATGTATTGGGGTGACGTTGGTTAATAAAACTATATAGGGTTCAGGCATACAATTCTATAACACATCATCTATATCTTGTATTGTGTGTTCACCACCCCAAGTAAAGTCTCCTTCCACCACCATTTCCCCGCCTTTACCCTCTTCTACCTCCCCTCCGACTCCTATCCCTTTGGTAATCACCACACTGTTGTCTGTATCTATGAGTTTGTTAGTTTTTTTGCTTAATCTACCTTTTTTCACCCAGCCCCCCAACACCCCTCCTCTCTGAAAGCTGTCCATCTGTTCTCTGTGTGAGTCTATTTCTGTTTTGTCAGTCAATCTCATCCTTTGCAACAGCACGGAGGGACCTGGAGGACATTATGCTAAGTGAAACAAGCCAGTCAGAGAAAGACATGTACCATATGGCTTCACTCGTATGTGGAATCTAATGAACAAAATTGTCAGTCACTTTTAACCTCTCTCTGGTCATGGGCAGCTTGGTGAGGATCTGATGAAAGCCATGGACCTGTGCTCCTGGGAAAATACACATCCAGATGTTTTCAGGTGTTCTAGGGGGTCTCCGGCCCCAGGAAGCCTGTTCATGGACCCTCCTTAGCTCATGCCTTGACTGTCCTCTGCGTGGTTCCACAAGTGCTGCCCAAATGCTGGTCCCGCCTCCCTCACTAGTGCAAACGTGAGTTCCCAAGAAGAGCCTGCTGCGCCTGGGCGTGGAGCTCTTTGCACAGGGTGGGAGACCGAGTTCTACATAGTTTCCTTGGCGGCAAAGGGAATATCCTGGGGGGAAACAATGGCTGCCCCGACACAGGCCAGGATATTTGTCTGAAAAGAAAAAACATAGCCATGCCCGTCCACGTTTGCGACGGGCTCTAGACAAGCACCTGCGTGCCTTCTCACCTCCTTCCCTCTGCCTAGAGCATGCTTTCCTTTTAACACACGTCTGAGCTGGTGCCATGGTCTTTGTGTGTGTTGGCTGCATTAGCTACAGGGGCCAGCACAGCAGCGGAAGTCAGGATGACAGGGTCCCTGACTAAAATGGGTAGTGGGCATGTCAGCTCAGCTCACATCAGCTTCCGAAGGAGTCAATAGTGGAGAGGTAAATATGCACTTGGGAGGGGCATTACACTGCTGTTGGGGTAAAGAAATCATACCAGTGGAGGCGAGAGGTGGACAGGCAGCACCCTGGGTGTTCGCCCTGAATGCACTCACAACCACCTTGGCATCACCTCCAAGCTGAATAATCCTTACGGACTCCAAGCTCCTAGGATCTGCCCTGGAGATTTTCCTCAGGAGACCCTGGTACCATAACCTCACCAAAATGATATTCTATCGTAAGTATATCTTTAACACCAGAGTGCATGGGCCTTTCTACACTGCCCAGATTGATTTTCTGTGAAAGTACACCACATTTAGGGCAGTCGATACAGGAAATCCTTACCATGTGATCTATTTTCTAATCATTGCCGTCTAGTGACTTAGATGGCAGATGATCTCAAAGTGCAGAGAGACCTCTGCATTCATAAACCTCATTTACAGATGCAAAAACAGAAGTCAAAAGCGGCTAAAGGGACCTGCATAAAATGATGCTGCTAATTAGAGCCGAGAATAGAATTCTGATACGGTTAACTCAGCCCAGGGAGTAATGAAAAGAGTCCAGAAACAGCTTTTCAAGTAATTCAACAATTCACCAGCTCAAACAAAGTTGCCAGAGTCCTCCCCTAAGAAAAGAAACCAGGCTAACCTCCATGAAGAAGCGGCCACCCCGTTTCCCTTGCGGGAAGGAAGATTGAGAATAAAAAACTGTCACCGGACAGTCTGTTCCGAAGCTTCAGAGGCGGCAGTAGCACCTGGGCCAGGTTTCCCAGGACAGACTCTTCTAAGGTCGACCAGCTAACTCAGCCATGGAAATGACTAGGTCTCACAACGGGAAGCTTCATTGCGGTCCTGTTTCCCTTCCTTCCATTCCCCCTCTTCCTCCCTGATTTTTGGGGAGGAACGTCAATGCTGCCTCTTCACTGGAAAGCTCCAAGGGACCAGAGCTGAAAGGGAACAAAGGTGCTCTCCCTGCAACCAAGGCTCAAAACCAGTCAGTCCCACTTGACGGGGTTCCTGAGTCCCAGGTAAAGTCGATGTGGCAAAATGGAGAGGGCACCAAAATGAGTAAGAGCAATTTGGGTAGAGAGCATTTATTTGCACATATCTGAATCAGCACTATTTATGCTCCAGTTCCCAGATCAATATATTCCCTAAACATGCATAGGAAAAGCTAAAAAACAACAATCCGTCTTTATTAAAAAAAAGTCACGTGCTCTTCCTCCCAAGAGGACACTCAGTATATAAAGTGAAAAGGGAAAAATAGTTTGATTCGTGAATTTATATGGTCCCTGCCCATCTCCTGAGAAAGACCACCTGGAAAAAAAGATATTTTAGTGACATTTTTGAAACTGCATATGAAATATCATTTTTCCCACATATAAAAGTATCACGGTAAGATAAATTATCCGAAAACCACAGGGAACATTTTACCCATTTCCTGAATTTCCATTTTGGATGTTTTAGGGGGATTTGTGGGGGAGCTGAGCCCCATCTCAGAATCCAGGAATTTGGCTACCATTAGCCTCGCTCTGCCTGCAGGCGTGTGCAAAAATCCACAGCCTGAAAGCAGACCTTACCAGGCCATTCAGTTAATCTACTCGCTGGCCAAAGGAACATCATTCCCCACCCCACCTATAAATGGTCCTCCTCAAACACATAATAAAATTAAAGTGAATTAAATGTTTGCGAGACACTTGTTAAGTCATAAATTAGGATGTGAATGCAGCCACAAACAAAATGAGGTTGAGGATGGCGAAGGAGGTTCGGCAAGTCCAGAGGAAGCCCGAGACACGCCCGCGCTCCAGGAGGTGGGTGGGGAGGTGGCGGCCCAGGACAGCAGGGGTTTGGTGGCTGAGAGGGAGGTGCGTAGCAATGCCTGGCTCCTGCTGTCTTCATTGCAGTATCCGTTGGAGAGCTTCTCAGCAAGGTAAACAATCAGTACTGCCCACTGCCCAAGCCAGCCGGGGGGCCCTGGGCTCTCCCCACAGACCACTTGGGTGATGCTCAGGGAAGGCTTGGAGAACTTAATCACCAGGGTGTTTTAGGGGCTTAGAAATCAAGTGTCTTATGTGTGTGTGTATAAATGTGAATACCCATACTTCACTATCAAAAGAAGTGTGGGTATAAGGTTTTTTCAATATCTGTTATTCTGGATACTCATGTTTTTGCTGCCCTCTAGATATTAAAAAAAAAATGTTTGCCTTAATTGAACTGTAGCTTTCAAAATATAATCACAAACTATCTTATACTTTGTCTGGTGACCTTTGGGCGTCTTAGTCTCGTTAGCCATGCAACTAGCCAGTCATACAGTAAAGCAGTGGTTAAGGGCTTGGGGTTTAGAGGCAGACTGACTGCCTGAGAAATAGCTGAGTGACCACGAGCAAGTGCCCCAACCTCTCTGTGCATCTGTTTCTTCCTCTGTAAAATGGAGAGGAAAAAATCCACCTCATAGGACTGTTTGGAAGATTACATCGGAGTGTCAAAGCTTAGTACCTGCTTGGTGCTCAATGATTGTTAATAACCATTTTTGATGTAAAAGCGCGACTATTTCCCTAGATGTAGACAGTCTGCGACTAAAGCTACCCTTTGCTATAGAGGAATGTTCCCTCGTGGCTGGCTTACGATAATCGATAATCTTCGTTTTGCTTCAGGAGGTCACTGTTGGTTGTCCCTTCCTGGATACATTATCTCATATAATTACCTCATTTTTGATAAAAGTCTTCATTGGTTCTTCCATGCTGACTCCAGATTGAGTCATCAGACAGTTTTAGGTAACAGTCCTGAAGGCTTTTTTTTATTTGTCTTTCAATTAATTTCCCCCTAGCTCTCGATCACCCTGAAACTGCCAAGAATCACAGATGATGTTTGTGATGTCAGGAACCAGCTGCAGAGGGACCCTGAGAGCCACTGCTTGGCTTTCCTGGTCCCCCCACCCCCCCCAACCACCACCACCGCCACTTAGGGAATCAAGCTGTTTCCACGGTGGGGTTGCCAGGCGAAATCTCATTGCTTATTTCCCAGTAAGCAGAGCAGCTAGCAAAAAGCTTTCGGAGCGCCCAGATCTGACTGAGCTAATGTGTTCTTGGACTGGCAAAATTGTTATCCCAGAAAAGATGGTTTAATATAGTATTAGGGCAGAAGTGATAGGATCATTGTGCATATCTGTCCAACTCTTTTCCCACTTTGTTGATTGGAATAGATGATGTTTTCTTTCCTTCTCCTTGTACAAACAGTATTATGCAAAACTATTTCCTATGTCTGATGGACAATAACTGTAGGAATTTTTGCAGAACTCAAACCCTATCTCCCCTAGAGTTCATTTAATTGTTAAAATTATATGTGCGGTTATTTCAAAGAGTGAAATAAGCTTTATAAATAGGAGCGGGGTGGGGGGCGGGGCAGCTCTGAGAGCTCTCCAAGAAAGGTATGTGTGCTGCCGATTCTGGAATGCCTGCGGGTTTCAGACCTCAGGGGGCTAAGCCACATGTCCAGCTCTCACTTAGCATAATGCCCTGCCTTTGTTGACCTCCACGATCTTACTTTAGAGAGCAAGTCTATTCTATTCATCTGTGGGCTATTTCGCTCCTCGATTTTTACCCCCTCTCCAGCGGTCATTCTTTTTTCCACTTTTATGGGATTTCTTAGAATGCTGAAAATAGCAACCCAAGTTGTTGTGTCTGGCTGAGAAATTATATACTTGTGATTTTTAGCCAAGACATTGGAGATCTTTTATAACAATAAAGATAATGTGATAAAGAAAGATCCAAGGACAGGAGGTAGACTTGACGAGCTCTCCTAATGGTTCGGT